ATGTTTTGGTTGCTTTGTAAAAATAATATAAAAGGCAAAATTTAAAAATTTTTGACCAAAACCTATTTGATAGGCGGCATAAGGTACAAGAAGGTAAACGGTCACACTATCCTCTAGCAGTCTCATCTCCTAAAATTCTATTAGGTTGAACACTAAGTTTTGCAACTGGTCTCATAACTTCCCTCTCACTCAACATGGTGCACTCAAATTTTGCCACTGTGTTGGTTATTGCGTAAGCTACAAGCGCAGCTGCTGTCCTCCCAAATTTTGCCGTCGCAGTGAGGGTTACGGTAGCTGTATGGTATAAAGGGGAAAAATTCAAAGTTTGACGGATTTGGCTGAAACTTGGCATAGGAGTGTTATCCGACATGCTGATCACGAAAACGATAGTGAAATTCCGTGAAAAGGGTTTTTTTGTAAGATTACTGTAGGTGTACGATATGAGGTCTCACCCTAAACAGGGAAAATGGCGTTGATTCAACGAATGAATAAAATATTCGCGTTCGGTAGGTTAAATAACCTTACTAGTGAAGTCTCGGAGGAATTTGAGCTTCGGACTCTTTAGTCATTGACGGTCGTCCCCAGCGGCTCTTGCGTACATCGACTCGTTCGAATTTATGAGGATGCCAAATCTCGACATGCCCCTATATTTTGTTTCTTTCTTAATAGGCCAAAGGAGTCAACCTCCAGCAATGATTTATAAACGAATCCGGATTAGTGCGCATGGTCTAGGCTGCCAAAGGCTTCATTTTAGCTTGAAACCTCAAAAATTCTCAAATATGTATGCATGCTTTACCTAAGCCAAAGGTGACATATTCGAATAGTGGGTGTCCAACATTTCGGACAGCGCTTGCAGTGCAGCATCATTCTTAACATTAGTGTACAATGATGTTACGTCAAACGACTCGATGACACTGTTCTGACTAACATTCAAATCTCGCAACTGTTTCACAAACTGAAAAGTGTTGGACAAGTGCGATGGTACCTTGGCGAGTAGCTGGCTTACGATCTTGTTGAGAAACCACGAAATTCTATCCGTGGGCCCGCCAACACAGCTGATTATTGGGCGAATTTTAAACGTTTGCGGTGACAAGGAGCGGATCCCGCTCGCTGTCAACTTATGAGTTTTCACCAGATGGTAAAACACAGGGCAGTTTGGATTTTCTAACTTCAACCTACTTATCAATCTATCATCTAACCTGCGGATTTTCCCACTCGAACCCAAACTTCTTCAGTTTTTTGCATTGCATCTGGAAATCTCGTTTGTTTGAGCGCTGATATACCGTCACATCGGAAAGGTGCATCTTTGCAATTTCCCTATCTAATGTTTGCGGCATAATAACAAAGTCACCACCCTTGTCACTTACTGAGACGCGAATAGATTGCTCTTTTTGGAGCTCGCGCACTTCTTTAAAGCCCTGCCAGTATTCCTGCGTTAAATTGCTGTGGCGCACCTGCTCATACCTATGCAATACTTTCAAGACTTCAGTCGAAAGCAAGCGGAATTTTGTATCGACAGAGAGCATAGGTCCTGGTTCTTTATAGAATGATCGAGATAACGGCAAAGATGATAGTTGTAAGTTGACCGTGGGTTCAACTGTGGGTTACTTTCTTTTTTAGCTTTGAGCCTTAGCGTATCACGTAATCTCAACAGACCTCCCATTACTCGGCGACAAACGTAGGCAATGATATTTTGCGACGGTGAGAAGGAAGGTCCGAGACTGAGAAATTTTGTAGCGCTTGCTGATAAATGAACGTTACCAATAACGGTGACCCTTGCACTTTCAATTTCATCTTGAGCTGAACTTTCTGGGAATCGGTGGTCTTTGGTTAGGCAATCGTGAACATCGTAATGTTTCTCATGTAGTGAGCCTGAAAGTTCGTCGTACTTTTTGCGAAGCCTTGTTTGGCTCTAGACCGAATCAAGCCGCAGATATACTTCGATTCACTCTCGAGCCTCCTCCATACATCTTGCGGTAGAAGACGTTTACAACATGACTCTTTGGCATTACATTTCAATAATGTGCTATACAATCCTCTGTTTTTCTTTGATTACAATCTTCAACCAATTCCGGTACAAACTTGTTATCTTCGGATCATTTTCAGAAAAACCGAAAGCACATCCCAGTTTCTTTTTTGAAATGAACGCAGGCAGAAGGTTGTTTCGTCTGCATCGTTGAAGGAAGTTTACGGACTGACGGACTGCAGCTGCTCGTTGCCGTAGCGAGAGAGCCTCGCGTACGAGAAAGACCAGGTGTGGCGGGGTATTAGTCAGTAAGTTCCAAGATCTCTCTTCTCTAAGTAAGCCTGCGAACGGTAGCGGTAGTCAAATTACAAAAAGAAACGCCAGCAAAGTTCTTTTCTGCGTACCATTCATCTGCGACGAAGTCAGTACGGCAATCAAACAATGCATAGCCAAAGCGTGAAAGCTTTGGCGCCGTTCATACGTTGAGCGTCGGCGACATGCTAAGCGAACAAAAAAGTCATGTCAATTTGTCTCACGTCAATTTTATATCCTGATTATGTCCTCTTTGATACGCCGAAAACATGAAATGGTCACAATATGTCAGGTAAGGTGCTCGATACGTTTAAAATCGAACTGTCAATTAATCAGTAAAATTCAGTCTTCCAAGCAGAAATTATTTGCTAGCTTCTGCTCGTTGAGATCTCATTCCCTACTCAAATGAAGCCAGTTGTGTTGCAGAAAGTGACACTCAAGCTGAAGAACAGCCTAAAAGTTAAAAATGCTGCCTCAATACACGTAAGTATGACCTCACATTATAAGCAAATTTTTAAGAAAATCACAGGTTAAGCTGACTAGATTACCTAGGCGGTGCTCATTCAACATATATAACCTGGATAAGAAAGGTAACCGCAACGGTCATAGTTAACTTTGTCATTGAACAATTGAAAGAACTACCGCATTCTGTGAACCGCCGCCTGCATATCCGGGAGAAGCAGAAACGGCGGAGGTACGACTGATGTGTAAGAGATTGTTGACGGATCCATCGGATGCAGTATGACTGACAGATTTGACAAAATGTAATTCACCGACTTTGATCCAAAAAAAATTATGCTAATCGAAAAAACCTTCGACACTTATGTTACTCTTTGCCTGTCAGTTTCAAAATTTTGAATGTTCATCCATATGTTTAAGGCGCATATTATTCAAAAACTGACATCAAAGGACGCCGTCTAAGAAAACTACGTTATTGATGAATTCAATTGTGAAATCTTTTTGAGTAGAGTATTTGACTCGTTTGGAATCGAGAAGGAACAGCATATGTATAATAGCTCAGTCCCGAAGAATATGCTCAAAACATAGAAATTCAGTGTGTTTTGGGTATAAGAGGATGTTGCTTCTGGCATGAAAATAGGGCCCAATACTTTCACTGGTAATCGATTTCGAAAACAACGAACGAGAGAAAAAAGATGTGCCGGTGAGCTTCGAGCTACTTCGCGAGATGATTCAGGAATAATCCAGACGCAGAAAAAGCCAGATAGGAATCACCAAATGACACCTCAGTTAACAACATCCCGACAACTGTCGATTTTGCACCATGGAGAGGGGGATACTAATTACGATGTTTTTTCTTAGCCGAACAATCTATGAATGTCGTAGATTATTGAATCGCAGGGCTAACCAGCGATTTATAGAGATTGCACATATCAACCTTCGATTTGCGAGACCTTCGGCGCCTTGCCATATGTTCAGTACAGATGCCAAGCCAGTAAAAAGAGTAGTGTTTAACGACAATCCTCATGTGAGTTTGCAGCCTGAGTGACCATAGAACATGAATTATTAAGTACGCGGTTTTTTCCAAGAATGTGCTTTTGATTTGCTGCAAAGAATTACTCTTTACTTACCATTGACACTTTCAAAAACTTATACGATAGTTCTACCTAGAATGCTCTCGTTGAATGCAAGAAGTTCAGTGAACACTGAGTCCAGGGAATTCAATTGATTAATGCAGGTGTCGCGATCAGCTGGTGATCCGCCACCGAAGAGATCACGCATCGATTTTGGCGCGGCTATTGGCGTCTCGGACGTCATTCGAAGTCCGAGCCTCACCGGCGGTCGGTGAGCAACGTCTTCAGTAATCCTTTTTTTCCATTTTTTTTTTCTCTTGAACTCACCACGATCTCGTTTTTGCGATTTTCGTCCTTGTTCTCTGTTTATTGTTAACACGTTGACGACCGCGCCATTTTGGGCGAAACTCCCACTAACGTTCCTTCGCGCATTTGGCCCGTGCATACGCGCGGATGCACGAAAAATTATGTGGGAGTCCTTTTGACGCTTATCCATAAAACATGTGAACTTTGTTCAGAGATACATGTATATCACAGAGCCTTACCAGAACTTACACAAATCAAGGTTTTTGCGTGGAATTTTCCTCCCAATAACCGCGCAATCGCTATATTGAAGGAATTTCTTTTCAAAAGAAAAACGCTGTAATACCAGGTATTTTTTGCTTGATTCATCCTTTTTTGCTTTCAAAACAGCTTTACAGAGTTTTAACCTTCTCGGAAAAACGTAATTAGCATGTGTTTACCTTACCAAAAACCGACTGATTACCCAATTTTGCGGCCCAAACTTCTGAACAGCTGCCGCGATGCCCTGTGTTCTGTAAGACTACCAGGCCACCAGTAGTATTACTGCATAGAAGTTACCTCAAAACTTTTCGTTTACACCTAAAAAACTAGCGTGCATATGCGCGGATGCACGAAAATGCTAAACGGGAGTTAGGGCGTGCATACGCGCGGATGCATACGGTCGTCAACGTGTTAATGAATCTGTGTTTTATTTCTTTTGAGTAAAAGCTCTCAGCGGTTTCGGCCGTAATTGTATCAGAATCTCACATGGGGGCCGAACCGGCCGTCTGAGGCTACACAAAGAAAGACACGGAAAACGCTTAAAAGCGAGACCAGAACAGGGACTATTGTAATTCTCGTGCGATTGTCGCGCTGTGAACCGATAAACGGAAAAGCCACGAAAGGCAATGATCGAATCGATGGACACGGGAAAACCCGAAAAGCAGGTAAGTGCCTGCATAGCAGAGGACGAAATTTTTAGTGAGGTTGAGTGCATGATTGCGAGTATACCTGAAACGCTTGCTTCAGAACTCGATGAGCACAGAATAGCTTACAAGTTTAGAGACTCACCCGAGAATGAAATAGCGCAACTTGTAGAGAAAACAAAAAGCGCGCTGGCAATTTTGAAGACAAAATTGGAAAGGAAGGAATGTCTGGGGGACAAATTAGGGAAGTCCTATTGAAGAAGGGGATAGAGTCCGTAGAGGACTTAGAAGAATTTATATCTACTACAGAGAGAGACAGTGGATTAGTAACAGAGCTATGCGAACTCTTAGATATTAATGTTTTTCAGATAAAAGAGAAAGTACAGCAATTGAAGGCAGAAGTGCCCGGAGAGGGAAAAGGCCCAAATGAAGAGAATAAAAGTACGAATCAAGGTAAGAGCAAGATGGCTGAAAACAAAAGAGAAAATTTCGCTTTGAGCGCTCTCGCAGATCTTCCGAACAAGAGGATTGGTACGCTTTACGAGCCGCGCTTGAATCCGCATTTCCAGAATTGGGAAGAAAACGGAAGGGAGCCGGAAATGGCAGGTCAGAGTCTTTTAACATTTCTAGAGGCTTCAACGTGCGTAGATCCGGGAGCTTTCAGAGGTAAAACAAATGAGAATTTTGATGAGTTCCTAAGAAGGTTCCGTAGGAAGTACGGGAAGGTGGTCAAAGAGGACCTAACCCTAAAAGAAATACTAGTAGACGACCACTTAGGGGGAGAGCAAAGAATTTGTACCTAACCCTACCCAGAGATGTAAGGGAATCAACCTTTGAGGTGGTAGTGCAAGAGTTAGGAAAGGCTCTTGGGGTAGACTCTACGGCGGCGAGACTTAGGGCCCTAACGGAAATGAGGAACCTGAGGTTAAGGCCGGGGCAAAGCGTGGTAGACTTTTGCATAGTGCTAGAAAGACTAGGACGCAAAGCAGACCCGGAGGGGAGTCCCGAAAATAAGTCTATGGAATACGCAATGATCTTGTTAGAAAATCTCAAGCACTGGCCGGAACACCTCCAGCTGCTGAGAGTATTACATAAAAAAAGACCAACACAAGCTTATGAGAAAATCAAGGAACTGGCCATTAGCATAGAGCAATCCTTGGAAGTGTTCGGCAAGGGGAGCTTTAAGCATGAAAGGGGTTGGAAGAATAGAGCCCGCGACTATACACGAGTGAAAGAATACCAAAGCCGACACCAGTGGGCACAAGCAACACAAGCGTCCTGAGTAGGGAGGAGAATGTCATGCAGCCGCAGGAAGAGGCGGCAGACAGATATGACGGAAAAGAATGGAGAAGTAAAAAGCGTAAGAGCCATGCCCGAAAGAACGGAAACGTTAAACCAAAGCCAAGATAAAGCAACAGGCAATCGGGACTTTATGGAAAAGGCGAACGAACCAAGGTGTTATTATTGTGCAAGGTATGGGTTTAGCGAGATCTTGCCCAGAGAAACACAATAGCCGACAGAACCGTGCCATTACACAAAACGAAGAAAGTATGGCTCCATTCACTTCACTGATCCACCGAGTGAAAGCCATAGGAGTGATAACACAATGTAAGGAAGGACAAAGGATTGAAGTAGTGGGCAAACGAACCCTAATGAAGGTGAAATTGCTAAGATGCGATGTGGAAGCGCTAATCGACACAAGGTCGATGATCAGCATAATACCATTCAGGTGCTAGCCGCAGCGTACGAAAGAGGGTACGATGCGGATTCCTTGGAGCGCATCCAGGAAAACGGCATGAACATCGTCTACGATGCATCTAGCAATGAAATAAAATTTTTGGGAGGAGTAAGAATTCCAACCGCGATACAGGGAGGTAGAACAGCGCAAGTAGCATTCTACATCTCCGAAGAGGATAGTTTAGAGATCTTGCTAGGTACCAATGCTTTAGAAAGTTTAGGCATTAGTATAGCACTTCAACCCGAACGCCAAAAACAGGGAGGTCACCCACAAGAGCAGGAGACGGTGGTCAGGGTAGGAAAACGAGTTATAGTCCCGTCGTATGGAATAAAGTTAGCAACGGCGAATTGCGTCACGGAAAGTGAAGAAGGTGTATTGTGGTCTAAAATAAAGGGAGTGACAAGTGGCGTATACAAAATAACGAATGAAACGATAACCATACCCGTGCTTAACAGCGAAGAAGCCCCACTGATTTTGCGTAAAGGTGACGAGCTAGGCGAGCTGACCAAAGAAAGATGGATAGAGAAATGGGAGAAATTCACCATGCCGGACCATGGCACAGTAGAGATGGAGAAGAACGAGAAGAAAAAGCTACTTTGGGAGCAAATTAAACCGAACCAAGAAGAAAACGAATTTGAAAAAGAACTACAAGATATACTAGAGGAATACATCGGTACGTTTGCAGTGAACGATAAGGAGCTAAAGCAAACTGACTTGGTCAGGATGAGGATAGAAACAGGAGATCATGAGCCTATTAAATTCAAAACAAGACAAGTCCCATTAGGAGTTCGCTCCAAATTGAGAGAAATGTTGAAGGATCTGGAACAACGAAAAATAATCGAGAAAAGCTCTTCTGATTGGGCTTTCCCCATAGTCCTGGTTCAGAAGAAAGACGGAGGGATACGGCTTTGCGTCGATTATAGAGAGCTGAATAAGTGCATCCGACAGGATTCGTATCCCTTACCTACAATCGGCGCGATTTTGTAAAGTTTAGCGGGCAAAAAGTTTTACCATCCTTGACTTATGCAGTGGTTACTGGCAAATTCCTCTGGATGAGCAGACAAAACATAAGTCTGCCTTCACAACGCCAGAAGGACTCTTCCAATTCAAAGTGACCCCATTTGGACTGAGCGCGAGTCCGGCAACATTCCAGCGATTAATGGACACTGTTCTAGAAGGCTTCTGGGAGTCGAAGTATTCTGCTATATAGACGATGTCATAATCTGCACGGAAACAATGGGTCGACACATAGAACTGCTCCGAGAGATTTGCGAACGAATGAGAAGTGCAGGACTCATGCTAAACGCCAGGAAATGTGTTCTACTGCAAAGATCGGGATCGGTCTCCTTCCTAGGACACATTATTGATGCGGAGGGGTCATAAGGACAAAAGAAAAGTTGAAGCAGTCTTGAACTATCCAGTTCCTAGGAATGGAAAGGAAATGAGAAGCTTTTTGGGAATGGCATCGTTTTACAGGAAGTTCTGCTTAAACTTCTCAAAGATCGCTGCGCCCCTTTTCGAGCTGACTTCAGCGAAGGCAGAATGGAAATGGGATGAAAAACAAATGGATGCTTTTGAAAAAATGAAACAAATAATTTCAACAGCACCAGTGTTGACGCAACCTAATATAGAGGAGGCCAGAAGATGCAGAAGGCCTTTCATCATATTCACAGACGCGTCTTCAGGACTAGGAACAGTCTTGTCACAGGAAGGAGAAGACAAACAGATTCATCCAACATTTTTTTGCGTCCAAAACGCTCACAAAAGCGGAAAAGAGATATCACATAACTCGAACCTCGAAGCACTGGGGGTAGTATTCGCAGTCAGGAGATTCCACATGTTCATCTACGGAATACCAACAGTAGTGAGAACCGATCACTAACCTTTGGTGGCCTTATTCAAAAGAAAAAATCTATCCGCACGCATTTTGCGATGGGCACTCGAACTGCAACGGTACAAGCTGCAGATTGAGTACGTGAAAGGAAAAGCGAATGTAGTAGCAGATGCACTCAGCAAAGGGCCAGTAAAAGAGGAAAGAAGCACTGACGAAGATGGGGCCGAACAGAACCCTGTTGTGTGTGTCACACAGACCAAGGCAGAATCAGCATGGCTAAAAGAGCTAAAACACCAGAAGGAATGGGCCTGGATAATCAAAAATGTACAAAATCAAAACCTCGACCACACGGCTAAAGTTTCCGGAATGAAAGGGCCCGTGAAAATAGCAGATTTTGTCATAGACAGAGGAGACCTCAAAATGTACAGAGAAGATGGATCATTAGTATACGTGGTACCGAAAAGTGCACAATACAAAGTTTTTGAAGAAGCGCACAGAGGAACTTTAGCGGGCCATTTCAGTGCTCACAAAGTACTGAACAGGTTGAAAAAGGAAGTATTTTAGCCGGAAATAGCGAAAAATATCAACAAATGGACCTCGTATTGCCAAAAGTGTTTTCTCAGCAATCCTGCGACAGTAGTAGTACCACCTTGAAACCAATTCGAACGACAAAGCCCTGTGAAGTAGTAGGGGTCGATCTGCTGAAACTAGATATAACAACAGCAGGCAACAGATATGCAGTAACGGTAATAGACCATTTCTCAAAATTCGCAGCGGCCTACGCAGTGGCTGATAAGTCGGCGGAAACGATAGCGAAAGTTTTGTTTCTAAGGTGGATTGTCGACGGGTGTAGATGGCCCAAAGCAATCTTATCAGGTAGAGGGGCGGAGCTCGAAAACAAGGTAATGCAAGAAATCGAAAGTTTTGCAAAAATCGAGCACATTTTCACAAAAAGGTACAATCCGCGTGAAAACTGGATCACAGAAAGGTTAAATGGAACAATAGTAGCAATGCTGAGAAAGACAACAAATGTACCCACAGAATGGGACCAAAAGCTACCATTCTGCATGCTAGCATATACTATAATATGACCCCCCACAGGGCAACAGGAGAGAGCCCTTTTTACATCCTGTAGGGTATAGATCCGACGTTCCCCTCGGATGCAATCCCACAAAGTAGCATCTCCAGGTACATGATGGAGGAAAATATGAGTGAGTACAAAACAGCAATCATGCAGGGAATAAGGGATGTGCAAGAGAAAATTTGCGCGCACAATGATAGAATGCGTCAATGCATGAAAAAGAATTATGATTTTAATTTTAAAGTTGACCCCACCAAGCTTCCAAAAATTAGAGAGAGGGTTTACGTTAGGGATCCGGCAGAAAAAAGTAAAAGTACGCATCCAAAATTCACTAACGAGTGGGCTGGCCCGTTCAGAGTGTTACAGACTAGCGAAAACTCAGCTTTGATATCGAGAATAGGCGAAAACAGCGAGCCAATCCGAATTCCACATGGTCAGCTACGCATTTTACCCCAAAACTTCCCCAACGAACCAGTTAGCACAGTTACTTGTAGAGGGAGAAGAGGAAGAAAGAAAGGTCAGGTAGAGGTACGAAAAACTATAGTCACTATTTTCAAAGGCGCCAAGCTGACCAATGAAAAAGAGCCTGGTCATCTACTGTATCATTGCTTGGACGACTGCTTGCAAATGACGAAGTTGTCGGAGATCAAAGGAGTATCATTCCCGGGTGCATTCGCCAATGAGACAGTGGGCACCATTTGGAAAGCGTGAATCGCAAGCAGCATATTCAGAAGGACCGACACAGACCTCCCGACAAAGATCAAGCTGTTTAGAAGAGGAACCGTCTGCCTTGATGAAGCCGCCCTGAAGCCAGTTCTAAGAATGGCGTACAATCGCTGCACGGAATGGACGGAATTTATATGTAGCACTCAGAGGATCGAAGCTCATGCGAAAATCAATGGATACGCGGTGCAGTCAATGTACGACGAAGCCCTGCAAGAGCTCAAAAAGGAGCTAACGAAAGAAAGTGCGGTAGCCAGAAGTTTTTCGGATCTGAGAGAGCTGCTGAATGAATGGAGAACATTCGGCACTTGGGTGATTACCTGGCCATTAAACGAGAAATGGACGCAGGACACCATAGAAGAAATATGTCGAGCCATTTTCACACACCTAAGAGACTGTCGTAACTGCGTTGGACGCCGTGCTTGGAGAGTAACTATGAAAAATGGAAGCAAATGCAGAAATCGTGGAAAACATTGGACGAGACGATAACGACAGTCAAGAGTAAAAACCAAATCTTTATCACATCCGGAACAATCAGTGTGAATGGGAAACTATAAGCTGAAATAGCAGCTCCAGAAACCAGTCTTCAATACTACAGCAGGTACGACGGAGTAACGAATGCGAAGATATTTTATGAGGCGATACGTCGAGCAGCATCAGAAGCTCGTTTACCTCATCTTTGGACGCCGCCGAGGACGTCGACAATCAGACGGGGGGAGATATCGCGATCAGCTGGTGATCTGCCGCCGAAGAGATCACGCATCGATTTTGGCGCGGCTATTGGCGTCTCGGACGTCATTCAAAGTCCAAGCCTCACCGGCGGTCGGTGAGCAACGTCTTCAGTGATCCTTTTTTTTCATTTTTTTTCTCTTGAACTCACCACGATCTCGTTTTTGCGATTTTCGTCCTTGTTCTCTGTTTATTGTTAATGAATCTGTGTTTTATTTCTTTTGAGTAAAAGCTCTCAGCGGTTTCGGCCGTAATTGTATCAAAATCTCACACAGTTAATAATCAAAAAACTACTCTCAATCCCAGAAAACATTTGTGGCTTTCATCATGAAGACTATTCCTCTCTTATGATTAACATAAAAAATTACAAACTATAAAATTATCCCAAGTATTATAAACAACTGAGAATGACCTCTTAGTATCCCTTTTCTCAGAATTTCTCATCGATTTGTCCCAACTATAGGTAACTGCAAATGAATTTATTTGTAGCTTCATATTATACGTCAAGCCCACCACATCACCCGAACGTCCAATACTTATTTCAAATTAAAAATCTGCAAGGGGGAGGGGCAAGGAAGGCAGAAAAGACATTTGCACCAAAGAAAAATTCGAGCAAAGATCCATGGACAGTAGTATTAAAAGCAGATTGGATGAGCGTGAAACAAGTGCAAATTTTATCACTTTCATGTTTGGGGCAATAATGGGGAAAGTGCGGTTTAGACAAGAAATAAGTGGTACAACGATGAACGGAAGTGCGAAATGTGAGAAGGCAGAGTGTTGATAAACAGCAGTACATGATGAAATAGTGCATTCGCGATATACGTACTCCCAGTAGACTGGCCAGGATTAGCTACGAGTGCCAAACATGGTTACACAACGAAAAAACTGTGCCATAAAATCCAAAACAGACAGTAACCTAGGTTTTCTGATCCCTTCTTTTTATGTGAGCAAAATTTGCGCAGATGGAGCTCTTCCCAGAAAAGTATGATTCTTGAGGAAAAAAGCCGAAAAATCAGTTTCTTAAGAAAATTGTTTTTTTGACATTATCTTCAAAAAATCATAACTTTCAAAATAACAAATCGTTCAGCGCAAAATTTGCTCTCACCTAGAAAGAGAGATTCAAGAAGTCTAGGATACTGGTTGTTTCGGATTTTATGGCACAGTGTTAGATTTTTTACCGGGCTTGCTTAAAAGTTCCGAACTTGAGGTGATTTCCTTTTCCCAACTATCTCTGCACACAGAGCCTATTAAATAGCATCCAAATGTATCTAGAAAGCGCATGAATTGCTCTTTTCAACAGAGTGCTAAACATTCAAAAACATCATGTTGGGAGCAAGTTATGATTTTTTGAAATGGTGGGACAGAACTTTCGGACCAACCTAATACAGGGTGTCCCAATAAAATGTTTAGAACGTTTGATCGTTAATATCTCTCTTCCCAAGAAGTCTTTTGCCTTGCTTCAGGTACCGTTTTGTAAAGCTGGCTTCACTTAGATTTCCATTATAGAACGAATCACCCATCTCTCTTTATTACTGTAGGGTTACGGTAGAAATTTTAAAGAGGAACCATGACAGGCCTATTTTGCCTCAGAAAGGAATCAAAACAGCCTGAAAACTTTTACACTAGGCCCATTAGAGTTGCTGATTCTAACTGTAAAGTTCCCAACTTATTACAATGCTTCATTTAAGAGTTATGCCAGGTAAGAGGTAGCGGCCATTTTTTCCATGTTCCTAAAAAGTGCGTTTACACCGTTTAGAAAGCTTCGTAATCTTGTGAAAAGTTAAGTATTGAACTGAGCGTCTATAGAAACCCTATTGCCCAAGTTTTCAAAATCTTTTTAAAAATTTTAAAACGGCAGCTTTTTCCACATTGACACCATATGTTTCAAGTTTCTACCGTAATTCTACAGTAATGAAGAGAGATGGGTGATCCGTTCTATAATGCAAATCTAAGCTGAAGCCAGCTCTACAAAACGGTACCTGAAGCAAGGCAAAAGACTTTTTGGGAAGAGAGATATTAACGATCAAACGTTCAATACATTTTTTGGGACACCCTGTATATATAAATAAATATATTAACCAACACCATTTTATTGTATATGTAGTTTATTCTTCGTGCTACGGAGCCGACATAATGATGTATAATAGAATTCGTTTCCAAGTGCTTAAGATACATGTGAGGATGAGGAATAGACATAATTGTTCTAAAGAATTTTAAATCTCTGAATGAAGTCAAGATGTAACACATTCTATTTATATACATTATGAGTTATTCATTGCGTAGCCTTTAGAAATTGCAAAAATAGAGGACTGGGAAGCTTCAGCCCAGAAATTCTGCTTGAGGGAGGGAAGAATGCCACAAAAAATTTTTCAGAGTAAAGCTGCGCGGTGCTAGTCATGCATCCCAAAAATTGCTTGAGATACTCTCGAAATTTTTGCAGGCTCATAAAGTGCCCAAAAGAATTTTTTAGGGATTAATCTGCATTTTTGAAAACTTCTATAAGCTGTTTCAGTTGTTTACAAGAATAAACAAGTTGCTTGCACATTTTATGACCAACTAAGTAACTTTCAAAAATTTCGTTACGCAACCTTGAGAGAGGGGACGGAAGCAGGCGTCCGCCACTACTGAGTGGAGTGAACGATAACTTATAAAATTTCTCCAAAAAATCTAAGCAAGTCGACAGATTTGCTTTGGTTTTGAGTACACTGTTTTGATTCTGCGTCTCTTACCGAACTAAACTATAAGTATGGCCCGATAGATTAGGTGACACAATGATTTGGGAAAGAACTGTAACGTCAAAACTTACCGCTGTTTCACAAGCACAAAGCAGTTTTCTGCATTGAACCCAAATCTATTTTTTCCCACAAGTAGTCATGAAATCCTGTAATTACACAATTGCTAATGCTTATCCCGTGATTGCGAGTTCCTTAGCGGATGATTCACAAACCACAAATAAAATTTCGAATAATTCACAACTCACACAAATAATTCATTTGCCTACGGTAAAGGACTAATCGCGCTTGAGAAAACAAGCATGAGCGCTGTGCATTGTCAATGGGACAGCATTAGTGGTAATATTCGAGACGATTATCTATTGTGAATGGTCTTATGGTCAGCAAAGCTTCCCTTTCAAAAATCTGCAAAACGTTCGAGTTTTGAAATTGCCAAACATTCGGGAAATTTTTCGGAAACTGCGTTCGAATAAAGCATGCTAGTATTATGTTCCAATTATAGTCGTAACTGAGGCATATCATTTCAGATTTCAATAGTGCTTTATAACAAACACTGAATTTGAGATCAGAGCGTTTAGAATGTATGGTTTACGCTCTGACATGGGTATGAGTTTATCGTTAGCGAAGAATTTTTAGCTCTATACAAAAACTTATTGAGCAACTTCACTTATTCAGAACTCATGAAATGACTGTACCAACTTACTGCTTGGACACAATAATAATGCATGTTGCACATAATTGTTTGAAATTGTAATAAGATTTATTCATAGTGTTATTATGTTTAAACCAAATACATCAAATTTATTCACATTTATACATAATTTATTGACCGTTTTGTTTCTGACATAAATCGAGTATAGCTGCGTTCAGCTGAGACCATAGCGCTGTATATGCAGTATTCTCTACATACATATTTACATACATTCGAGGGCTGGGCATACTTCACGCAATTTCAGTTGCGACGCGATTTGGCAATTCGCCAAAGTCTTCAGATTCAACACTAGCAAACTGCACATGAATAGTGTGTATAACTTTGGAATGATAAAATGCCCTATCTTCTGGACAATTAAAATGTGCTTGCAATGAATTATGGACAGTTGGAATATTACCAAATTCGCGACTGAATTGTGTGAAGTATGCCCGGCCCTTTATACACGTATAAGCATTTTTAGCACACGTTTGAGCCCTTTTTCTAATCGGACCTTGCGATATGAACCCGAACTCAGCTGGAATCATGGAGCTGCAAGGTTTCTCCTGCAAATGTCAAGCTCGGCATTCATAGCAGTTCCATAAAAAGAATAGTGTGACAAACGTCATAACAGGTTAGAAGGCGTACCTTGGCATGCATTCGGAAAGGCTCTTGTCCTCAGAAACCCTATTCCCTATTGCACGAGGTAACATCCCAAACTGTGTAAGTCTGAGCCGTAGACATCGCTGTAATGGCGGCTGGTGACGGTTGTGTCATTTTCCCTGCTTTTTTCGTGCTTTAAATATGTATGCCATGATCAAACAGTAGTAAATAACCATAAACTACCTACCTCTAACTATTCAAGCTGCGCGTTAGACGGATCCCTGTCCAGAGTCACATCCGGCGGTTGTGACAGAATTTGGAGAGATATGGTGGTAAATTTGTGTCTGAGGTATGGTGCACTCGGGTCGGAAGCTGTATGGACTGATAACAGACGACGATGCACCAAATGACGACGTCGAGTCGAGGGGTGATGTCGTAGTAGATTTAGATGAAGACGATAGGCAATAAGTGAGCGGAAGTGTTTGTTCCCATGGCATATCGTATCTGAATGTGAAGCACTTTACTCGAGTTTTTCCATAAATGGGAAGTGCAAATGGTATATTACTCTACTATTTGAAAGGTGCACTTATATCCGTGGCGACTATATATCAGGCTGAGGGAAAGTCCTGCTCACCTACTCTCTTCCTCTGGAATTTTGCCGTTAGGCCCCGGTCAGACTTCATGCGACTTGATCGTCGCGATCTAATCGCCAAGATTTCCATTCATTTTCATTTCACATTCAAAAATATCGGGCTGGAAAAGTATTACAACCGAATGCAACTTGGTTGACATGGAATGATGTTGTAACAGTTGTCTCGTCGCGATTCAGTCGCGACGATCAAATCGCGTGAAGTCTGCCCAGGGCCTAAGGTGGAGGATACGGCTGATAGGGCGTCTTTGCCGTAATTTGCCGATGAAACCTGTACAAATTGTTTGAATCAAAGAACGAATTAGTAAACTTGCAAACCTTTTTTGTCGAAGAAGAGCACAATTGCACAAGCAAAACTCATTGACGTCAGGATAGAGATTGATGCCAGTGTCAGCACGGAAACTTGCAAAATCTTATCGTCACTCTTTAATCGGGAAAAAATCGAAGTTGATGCAGACGAAGAGTCTTCTGGCAGCTAAAACAGAACAATGAGAAACTACATTGCTGACGCGATAGGTGTAAGTAATATCCTCTGAAAGTCAACTCCTATAGGGCAGCGTCGAGAATTATAGTGGCTGTCTTATGGGCTTTTGTTGATGGACATTTTGCGAGCCAGTGTCACCTATGCATGTGCAAAAGAGCATACTTTAGTTCTGGATATGTGGAGAGATAGTCAATCAAGGGCTGACTAATTTAAGGTGTTCGTAAACACTTTTTAAAACACCTAACTAGATTTTTTGAAAAAATGTTTGAGCTTCTTCGTAATCTATAATTATCATGGTTATAAGGATAATACACAGCAAAAAGGTCCATTGACTAACCCTTTGCTCGATGCGGGCCACATCTGAAGGGTCCGGGCACCATGGACATCTCTCCGTGTGCTTCTCCAGAATCATTAATAGCTAGAAGAAAGAGAGCTATTCGACAGTCATAATGCCGGCTTATGGGTGCATTGATGGGCAATAAGAGAAGTTACTATCACCTATGCATGCGCATTGAGTACTGTGGTTGTCAGTTTGCCAAAGAAATGTTGAATAAAGACTGGACTTTGTTGTTATAAAGACATATGGATGCCATGTACAAAATATATGTAATTATTATATTTCATAGAAGTAGCTACCATTTTTCTATATCTAGCGTCAATACAATTCTAGAAGAAAATCGACCTTTACTGACTAACCCTTTGCTCGATGAGCGCCACATCCGATAAGTCTGGGCACCATGGACATCTCTCTGTGTGTTTCTCCACCGCTACGGTGGCGTTGAAACATCTGGCCCGAATTTCAATCAGCCTCTTGCCCAGTTCCTCTTCTGGCAATGGAGTGGTCGTGATCGTCGCTTGACGTCGTTTCCGTTCCTGCAAAGAATTGGCTTAGTCCCTGGATATACATGAGCACTCCAACAAACTCATTTCACGGTATTAAGTTGATATCTCACCAATATTTTTTCCATTCCGTCAGGAAAAGCGCGGACTGACGAGGTATGGTCACAGACTCGTGGAAATTCATAGAGCGGATCGGTGCCAACCACCTGGCATCTGAGCTTCAGATCTTCCGGCTTGCCTTTCGCCCAGTGGGATACGAATGAGCGCGAGGTGTCCTGAAATTGTATGTTGAACGGTGACATTCATTATAAAGAATATGAATCTACAGCGATCGGTGGCGGTCCCTGGATTTCCGTCCAGGGGGGGGGGAGCGGCAATTTTTTTCAAATGAAGATGCCTAGCGTCAACCAGCACTCTAAAATTTTTAGGGGTGCTTCTCAAAATTTTTGCGTGTCCCCAACCCCTAAAATCTGGAAAAAGGGGAATGGCTGAAGCCAGGGCTCTGGAGAAATTTTTTAAAAGGCTAACTTGAATTTTTAAGAAATTCTAAAAATTATTTTAATTGTTTACAAAAATAAACAAGTCACTTGCAAATTTTTATAACCCACGCAGGTAAATTTCAAAAATTTCGCAACCCATTCTCTCTGTGTTCAACTTGTGTCGTAATTTACAGGTAATAATGCCCATAATTCTCGGCTGCTTTATACTTCCTGTCGAACTTTGAACAAGCGGATTGGTACATATTTTAATCAAAAGCGTTTCGGCATCTCCTTTTTCAGAATTCTGGCCCAAAGCATGATCGCTGGACTGACCGTTTGTGGACACTAAACTAGGTGGGCAAACAATCAATCGAAAATTTTTATAAAATAGAAGATTGTAAAATTTTGAGAGCCTGTGGTTGACATTACCAAAATCATGCAGTGCACAAAAGAGATCACTATAAAGGAGCGGAAGAGTAGGTAACGCACTTGAAAAAAGTCATAAAGTTACCTGCACGAAATGCTCAGAAATAGGCCAACTGATGGAGATCTCCTCAGTGAGTGGGAGCAGATCTCCAAGTATCTGAAAGCAATCTTATTTGTGGCTTTCACATAAATCAATTTACAATTATATCAAGGAATTGACGTCTAATCTGGGATGAGAACAACCGGACTTGGTTAGACATCCTTCACTCCAGTCCACTCCCAGCAAATCGGCGGTCATCCAAAATGAATCTGCCATAACGATGGGGATGAGAAGAAGCAAAAGCAACATCTACGAAATTTTTTAAGTTGACTTTATCTGAGACAGTGAATATAGCGCATAATAACGAAGTGCTTCAATGATGGAAAGGCATGGGGCGGAGCCGACAGCCTCCGTCCTCTAGCCATCCTAATTAAGGATGCACACAAAACGAGGAAAAGCTTAATTCAGCGGATAATCTTTGGCTCAAAGGTGAACAGAAAGATTACGAATGGTTGCAAAGGGAACAAGAGGGTCTTATTCACAGCTGAGAAACGGCTGACCTTGAGGCGAACCGGCATACCTCATTCGGATCAGAATTAAGTTTAGAAAATTGAGTTACAAAATCGGAACTACACCCAAAACCTTTTACGGTATCTACCACCTGCAAATGGAGTTGAGCTATATGGATGCGGAATATCCTAAGGAGAAGGGGGAAGGGGAGGAGCAAACGAAGTACAAGAAGCACTCGCTAAGGTCAACCAAGCTCTGCAACTGTCAACAACAAACAAACCGATAAGGTAGCGCACGCGCCCGCTGATAATCTATTACAAGGTATTTAGGCAGACCATCATATCCAGGGGCACTATTAAGCTAAGCTGTTAACTATTAAGTGTCAGATTGGTCCACCCCAAAACGCACAACCTGTCTATCTACCGTAAACAAACGTTGGAAGATATCTGGACGTATTTGTGAACCGATAAACATGCGGATACAATACATGGAGTAAACGCAGAAAATCTTTAAGTAAATCTTTTTGAACTGCACTGGGCTCAATGTGTAGCAGATATTTCAAACTTCGTTACTGTAACTCCACAAAAAATTTGGACCCGAAAGATTGCAGTCTTGAATGAAAAATGGACCTTTGTTTGAGGTGTTCGTATAATTATGAACCGCTAAAAATTCGCATTAGGAGCAAAAACACTCCTAAGATTGACATCGATTTTTATTCTTATGGATCATATACCATTTTCGGCTGTGCTCTTTCGGCTGTGCTCTTTCTGGTACCAACGACTTTTTGAGTTTTTTTCTAAAAAGTCTAGAAACTCCCAAAATTAGGAGCAAAAACACTATAACACTATACGAAAACACCCAAAACTGGGCGTGTTCGTATAATTATGAACCGTACTTTACATATATTAGGTGGGTCCAAAAGTTCTGTCGTTTCATTTTCAAAAATTTGTGACTTCGCGAAATTTCAACGGATTTGCTTGCTTTTGATTTTGTTAGAAAGGAAAAGTCTTTCGCTTTCAATCTTTGTCTTGTGGAGCTTCTGTTTCACACTGACTGCAGAGATAAAAATGGAGCTAAGACCATGTAAACTTTGATCATTTTAAGTTAGGTCACCAAAAACCAGGAATGCTGCAGAAAAGTCTGAAATCGTCAGTAAACATGTTTTTTGGCCTACACTTTGCAACTGTGAAAAGTGTGTGCTGTTGGGCATCTCTGTGAGAAGCTATGAATATCGAGTTTACTATGGAAAACGCCAAAATTAATTAATTTGACACTTTTCTCGAAAATTATAACTTCTCAAAGAGACGTCCAAACGGGACAAACTTTTCAGAGCTGCAAAGAGTAGGCCAAAAAACATATGCACTGACGATTTCAGATTTTTCCGCAGCATTCCAGATTTTTGGTGACCTAACTTAAAATGGATAAAGTTTACATGGTCTTAGTTTTCCATTTTTATCTCTGCACTCAGTGTGAAACAGAAGCTCCACAAAACGATGCTTGAAAGCAAAAGACTTTTCCTTTCTAATAAAATTTAAAGCAAGCAAATCCGTTGAAATTTTGAGAAGTTACAAATTTTTGAAAATAAAACGACAGAACTTTAGGACCTACCTGATAGAATGCCACAAAAATTTTGGCAAATGGTTTGCAAGAGTTGTATAAATCTGCAAGTGACTTGTTTTTACGATTAAAGTGACTCTATGTATTTTTAGAAATCAAGTGATAGAAACCTTTCATGAACCAAATGGATCTTTTCCTTTTTCAAAGATACGGGCTCACAAGCTCGCAGTTCCAAGAATTTCCAAAAGATTTCCGAGAGTAACTAGCACGACGGCCTTTCCAAATATAAATGCAGGGACCACAGGCAGTTTTCGGCGCAAATCTTATGGAAGCAGGCTGGACTTCGTTTTGGGGCGAAAGAGCAAGGAAAATATCGTTTTCGTGTCCAAAAATTACGACTTTTTTGTCGACGTTTCGTTTTTCTCGTTTTTCAAGGATTTTTTACGTCTAAAGCTAAGAGTCAAAGGGGACTTCGCAAAATTTCGCGAAGTGAAGGGATTTTTTTCAAGAAGTCTAAAAACGAATTCATGCCGAGCCCTGACCATGGGCTCTCAACCGCAAATTATTGGGGACGGGAGAGGGGGGAGGGGGAGCGAACATTTCAACAAAATCTGTTGGAAGCCGTACGGTGATATGAAAGGCGAATAGTTGAAGAATGCAGCCGTCTATGTGAGGCGAAGAGCCACAAGCGCTGTTGTCGACAAAGTCGTTTTCGAACAGAACAGCGCAATTTACCGGCTCTACATAGGTTCTGTATTGTGAGAAAAAGAGATCGATTGCCTGATATGAGTTGGCTGGAGAGAGTTTAATTGAAATACGTTACTAGAAAAAGCACAAGAGCTCTATGTGGTGTCTACTGTATAAAGCTCTTCCTTGATCCGATAGCTGCAAAGAGAAGAATGGATAGAGCTGGAGAGTAGACCTAGTTTTGAGTTCCACCAAATTCCCATGAGCAGCACTCAAAAGGGCTTGGCTATCATCAGTCAGAATGTGGCGAAAGCGGAACGGCTGACAAATCGGTTTAGTGGGTGATGATTGCTTCGAAGACCCCCTGGAGAAGCATGGCAGAGGGATATAGAGCTGCTAAAGCTTAAAAAAGATATGCTTTGCAGAGAAGTAGAATATGTTAGCGCAACTGGAAGGACAAGCATGTTCTTCATCTACTACATTACACATTAAAATGTTTCTTTCATGGGTTCTGCAGCTATTAATCATGTAAAATCACGGTTGCAGCTAAATGGGAGAAGCAAGTGGTACAACTCTGCAAACGTTGATATGAGAAGAAAACAAGAGAAAAGTGAGGAATCATTTTGCTACAGTAACAGGGCTCGGCACAGGTGGCTTATAAACGAGCTGGATATCGTTTTTGGGATAAAAGCAAAGGGGGTTTCGTTTTTGTAGCCGAAAAGACACAAAGTTAGCGTCGTTTTTTCTAGTCGATGTTTCGTTTTTTGGAGATTTTTTAGGGATTATGGTCCAGAATCAAAGGAGATTTCGTAAAAATTTGCAAAAGTCAAGGGGAACTTCATTTTTTGCACTTTCAATTAGCCACCTCGTGCCGAGCCCTGTACAGTATATAAGAATATAAAGCTGAAGAAGAACAGCACAATTTGCGTAGTTTCACCTAACCTTTAACGCAGTGTAAGGTTTCGGGAACAGGGAAGATGGAATCTAGAGGATATTTACCAGTGAAAACGAATTCGAGAGAAGAAAATGCCCATCGGCATTTTCTGGGCTGTTTTGCACTGGCACTGCCATGTCGCCGACACTTTTTCTGATGAATGACCCTGTCGGAACAAAAGTTCAGGTATAACGAGAGCAGCGACTATCGGATGTGTAGAAGAAATGACGGGCATGACAAATAGAAAAGAGACTAGTCAAGGGACTCTATTTAGCGCTTAGAATTGCAAATTGTTTTGATGATTTTTCAAGAGATACAGCTACTTATATGAATGATAATAAAAGCAACGAGCTATCTTTCTCTTAGTTTTGCACTGCTTCGGTTGCGAGGTTGAGCGAACTTAGGAAGATTTTAGTTAGACCAGGATGAGATGAGCTTGTATTTGAACGATGAGATTAGTGAATGGAAATCGGTGTCATTTAACCTCGATTTGCTAAGACTCGCCATTATGAATGGAGTGCGCATGGAAATTATGAGTTTCGGCCCATGATTGTAGTACCGTTAGCGAGGAAATTCACTGCCAATTGCAGAGAAATTTATGGAGAATGGATAAACTTAGTTTGAACGAGTTGTGTTCCACTGAGAGAAGCGGGTGCGCGCATGCTACCCTGCTTAGAGCCAGGTGCAAATGTTTGAAGGGCATTTGAGTAATGAACGTCTATAGAGAATAGGCAGACATTCGAACGAGAATTTACTTGACCCACTTGGCTGACAAGACCGGAAAAGGCAAGTGTATATCAAGACTAACAATCACTTTTTCAATGATGGCCGCGTTTCCCATTACTGAACATAGCATTGCACCCTCTGTATTGTAAATGTGGGAGAAATTACTTTAAGTGGTCTGCAGCATAGGAGGGTTTTGGCTTATTTCAAAATTATTGCTAAACATACCTCCAAGATTATAACCTACACTAGGTTCTTGGCCACAGTATGCGATGCTCTAGGGAGTCTAGCAAATTGTGTATGATATAGTGGTCCTGCATATAATTAGCGTAATTCAATAATTCTTTAGCAAGTTTTATTCAAAGTCGGTTTGTCTGTAGTAGACAAGAGAATAATGTCAAGAGAATAAAAAATACTCTATTCTTGAATGTACCTTAAGCAATCCCCATGTAAACCATTTCCCAATATTTAGCGTAATCAGTTCAAACGAATTTTCCATTTGAATGATTGGTGATGTAGAACTTATGGAAATTGATTCCAAGTCGACTAGCAGTCTGGATATAAATGCGACGGCTACCGAACCTAGATATCATGTCTTCAAGGTAAAAAGGAAACGAACGAGCAAAAACATTTGCACAGCGGATAAAACTTGAGAAAAAATTAACTCCAAGGAATTTATTGATTTGGAGTTTGCGTGGGGCACGAAAGCTAAAATCGTCGAAAATGACAACGTACGAGTTAAAAAAGGTGCTGAAGAACGTATGTTTGTCAGGCCAGTGTAATCAAAGGACGATCTATAGCCATGATCACTAACATTCTGTAAGCAGATGCTCATAAAAAACTTTTTAAATTATTTTAACACCATTTCGTATTGTTGGCATAGTAGGCCCTCTGACCA